TCCCGCGAGCATGCAGAAGTGCCGTGAACACCACTAATGTCTGAATCCTGCAGGGCTGTCCATAAACTCGTAAGAGTACGGGAGGTGAAGAACTCTTCTGAACAGCGCTTTGCAATTCATCCCAGATATGCACAATAATGTTCATGTCTGGGGATTTGGTGGCCAGTGGAAGCGTTTAAACTCGGAAAAGTGTTCTTGGGTCCAATCTGTAGCAATTCTGGACGTGGGATTGTCGCATTGTCCTGCTGGAATTGCCCAAGATTGTCAGAATGTACAACGGACATGAATAGGTTCAGGTAACAAGACAGGATACCTACGTACGTGTCGCCTGCACGAGTCGAATCTAGACATATCAGGGATCCCTCATCACTCCAGCTGCACACGACCTATACCGTCACAGTGCAAAATTCGTTGGACATTGGTCGGCGTGGGGAGATAAAAGAACACATATATGAGGCTTTTGCGAGAAGAATAAAAAGGTACGTGAAGGGGCATTCTTTTGAATGTATATTAAATAGGCTACTATTTTTGAAAGTAAGAGGAGTTACGTGTTGTAAATGATATTTATGAAAGAGAGAAGGTATGCGATCTGGAATTATATGTGATATGTTAAATTGGGCGCTGAAATTGTGATGATGCGAGGTAGAAGATGTGTGATATGTAAAAAGAAACAACCTAGAAGAAGGAAAGATAAGCCATGCCTGCATTGATATAATAAACTGATAATGAAAACTGTTATTAGTACAAGGATAGATAAGTGACCTTTAACGGAGTGGTAATATTTGATATAAAAATATAGTTTCATGTTTTGTCCTACAATTTTTATGTTTCATATGCATAATTAATTAGCATAATTTAATTTGTTTAACATAGAAACTCGTGATATTTATTTTTTAAAGAAAAGTATTTTTAATTCAACTATTAATGACCATTTATTCCCATCATCGTCCAATGTTATCCGTATGGAGACATTCTAAATTACTTATTCATGCCCTGAGGATTGATAAATAATAAATATTTTGGTAGTGTATGGAGATAAAATCGTGCATATCTTTAAGATAAATTTTCGGTGCTTCAAAAAGGTCATTGTGTAACCTTTCACTAAAGTGGCCTTCGTATGTGTGAAATTCGACAGTCCTTCGCAAATAGCAGCCTTCCATATTCACCCAAATGTGTACATTTTTTAAGAAAAAATATAAATTTACCTTGTTTGGGAATAAATATAAAGTAACAATATACTTTTAAGCAATAAACTTTCAAGTTAATTTGATATCATTTACTAATTTGACTAATTCCCTGTTTGCATCTCTTTCTCATTCTTCGTACTCTAAATACACACTCCTATTTGCACAGTATGAATTACTGAAAAAATGATTAAGTGAAAAATATCGTGTTATAAACGAATGGATAACAATATATTTCTTATTAAAAACACATTCCACAAATACTTGTAATCTGAGTGCATGCGTATGGCGTTGCCTTCAGTTCAGGAAAATGGCGCGTTCACCCTGTAGTTCGGGCAATGAAAGGTAGCGAATTGGTAATATAAATATTTTACCTATAATTATATGTGTAAACAAACTTTTGTTTAAATCGATCTTTTAACTTCAAGGGTTTTCTAAGGATGAAAGTACGTGGAGCATCCCGCCCGATCCATATATAGTAGGCAGATATATTATTGATGTGTTTTACTATTAATTATTTTCATATTTGCAGTATTGTTTAATTGATTTGTTATTTTCACGTCCAAAAAATCCGTCATATATTCTACGTGTGATGTTGCAGATTCTAGACATCTCCTTTACATCGGAGAAAGTATTGAGAAGTGACCACGACCAGTATTCGGATAGGTCCTTGGCCATGAAGCGGACCGAGACCTTGACTCGAAACCTCATTCTGTTAAACCACAGTTAATTATCTAGTATCTCAACTTGGAATAACACACACGCAACTTTTGTAGTAAAGTTTCGGACCCACTGGTCAATATTTTTCAGTAGGATACTGAAACTTTCGCGTACGCTTATGTATTGATAACATTCTCGTGAGCTATTGTTCATTGAATCATTTTTGTTTGATTAAGTATTGTAAGTATGAGGTTTAAGATACCTAAGTGGAGTTAGTAATGTAATATGAATGTAAGATTTGGTCAAGTTTCTGTTTGTGCATCTCACATCTCTGTAGCACACAACTGCAGATCTGACTTCAAGCTTCATTCTTCTACATTTAGTAATCTTAACATGAGGCAAGAATATTTTCAGTCTCCTAACATAAGATAAATTAAACAATTAGAAAATAATTTTGAAACTTATCGTAGCCAGATGAAATTCTGAAATCATAATATCATTTGCGCAATACTGTGACACGCAAATAGAAGAGTACAATTTTTTTAGGTTCCTTCAAGCTCTTTTTGTGGCATGGATAAAAAGAACCGCGGCAACGGGAAACTAGGTTTATTTGATTCCGAAGCTGTAAACGAAACCGCGTGAGAACAACAAAACAGCGACACAATACCCGGTGTCATGCGGAGCACTAGTGCAATTAACTTCAATCTTCATTGAAATAAACTGCAATAAAAGCACTGTTGAAACTCCGTGTTGAAGAAAATGAAACGTTTGTATGGAGGGTTTTTATAGATGCCAGAAAACACTATATATTCATATTCGCACATCCACATAATAGAAATTAATATGTGTACGAAGCAAAAGATCATCAGGTGAACCGTTATCGTCGCTGCATCAGAACAAGACTGCAGATTCGATGAAAAATTACAAAATGTTTGGAACTTAGGACGCCATACGTGGGTTTCCGTGTTTCACACGAAACGGACCATCGACCCAAATGCTTCAAATATCTCAGCACTAACCACCGGAAAAGATGGCTCACGGCATTAACCGATGTTACTGTAGACTCTCTGACCGGGAGGTCCAGGTTCGACTGCCGACGGTGGCAGGATTTTCGACACTAGCCTGCCTGCTAGGTCGAATACAGTCACTGTCTGGAAGAGCATTCTAGCGGCCGGTTAGTTTTCCTTGGATTCTCAACACCAGGCAAATGCCGGACCAGTGCCCTAACAAAGGAGCCTCGGACCGCGAGCGATCTTCCCTGCCTCTTCCTTGTTATATCTTCTCCCCTACATGCACACACGACACACTAAAACGCGCTACACAAGTACTCATGCCGGGAGACCGGTCGGGAGCTTAGAGCTTGTCCGAGCTGGGGTGATGCCCTGTTAGTTGGAGATACCAGGTGGGGAAAACCCCTGTAGCCGACGGTAGATCGGCGCCGGATCTTGCCATACAGGGGGGGAAGACAGCCACGTCTCAATTAAGACATGCGCTATACTTACGAGACTAACGACCCAGTTCGTTGAGTAGCCGGGAATCACTAAAAACTCAACAACAGCAATCAGCACTAACCATGTCTCAGAAGGCCTAATTCTACCGTATAGTAAACAGATAAGTCTATTGCAGTGCTTCTGACCGGGAGGTTCTAGAGTTCAAAACCTGACGGTAGCAGGATATTCCACAGTAGCTACATAGCTTCGTCGAATTCAGACGCTATCTGAAAGAGAATTCTAGCGGCCTTCTGCTCTGATCGGTATTTTTCCGTGTTTCTCCTAACAACACCAGGCGAATGCTGGAGCAGTACTCTAACAAACGGGCCTCGGGCCGCGCTCGATCTTTCCTTCATCTTCTTTGCTCCTTACATGCACACACACACACTAACATACGCTACACTACCATACATGCTCAAATGTTGTGCTGGCTGGGGCATCCTGTTGGTAGGAGGTACCTGGTATGTGGAAAAACCGCAAGCCGACGGGTAGGTCGGCCCGCATCTCACCACGCAACGGGATAAGATCACTGCCACCTTTCGAGACAACACATTCACTACACTTATGTGACTAATGACCTTAGCATTTCAGGCCCACAAAATTACTAATCAGTAAAACAATCACATAGGCTATGAGGGTGAAACAAGGTTCAAACTACAGAACTGCAAGCAATGACCATTGGAGACTTGTTGCTGATCCCATGTTCTGTGCAAACCATTTACCAAGGATTGAAGTGTGAAATTCAAATATTTCTCTCGTACATATTAAAAAACGATGAACTGAAGCAACGAAACGAAAGAATTCCGGAAATAATTTATATAACTACGATAATATTTCTACTTTATTAATATTTATGAGCATATTGTTGAAACCAACTCAGCCTGAACTAATTAAAACAAACCAAAAATAATTCGTTTGTAAGAAGGGAGTGGGCGTTATTTTTGCCAGTTGCATTTTTGATTCCTTTCTAATAGCTCTAATATAATTTGAATTAAAGTTATTTGTAAAGATTATCCTTTTTAATTACAAAAAATAACAAAGAAATAATTTCTCAATTTCAAATAAATTTGAAATAATTTTGAAAGCCTACAGCAAAGCTTTATACAATAAAGAAAAGTAGTAAGCATAATACCATTATTTTGCCAAAATTACTTTCCGTTGATCAGCAATGTCACTTCAGAAAGATGCCTTTTTAAGTAAAAATTCATCGATTAATCCATTAATTAATATTAAATAATATTTATGTCAAATGTTTAAATTTGAGAATAATATAAATTTAAACAATTACCATTTGAGTTGTTTTAAACATTGAAATTAGTAACGACTTCTGAATTCATTGGTACATTCTTGTTATACATCATCGTTTTCCCCAAAAAAATTGTAGATAGGTAAAATAACGCCAAATACATTTAACAATGATAATACACTTTAATAAGACACGCTTGTAATATTTTGCTCATAGTTATTTCTTGTAAAAAAAACTTGAATTTTAATATATCCAGATGTATTTAGACATTGTTTTGTTTTATCCGAATTTTACAAGATAATATCACATTTCTCCCCGCCTAATTTTTACACTTCCTAGGTTTGAAGCTGTGAGGAATGGTCAAAGGGATAAAATATAGAAATTTTTAGAAAATAAATATTTAATTTGTCAAATAAATTAGACATAAATGTATTATAAAATTACATTGCACAAAGTCCAGTATTGTAATTATAATACTGCATTTGAAGAACACATTCTGGCTATATTTCTTTCAGAAGACGTCAATTTTTAATACAATTTATTTGAAACTTTGTTTGTGGCAAGTTATAATAAGCCGTTTCGAGTATTGATGGTAGTAGTTTATCGCGTGAGAAAATAAAATTCATTATAATCCATGGCATTTGTTTTCCATAGTTTGATTTATCCTGTGACCTGGTAACTGTAGTCTCTGTTATGCTCTGCTAATTAATGAGTTAATATTGCTACTTCATAGTTTGTACATCAACAATAAAAAATAAAGAGAGTCGTCTATAAAAAAGTATTACATTTATTTACTGAACAATAATTCATTATCTTAATTTTATTATCCTATGTAACTGCTAAACTAATAACTGGATATTTATTTTTCAGTCTTACGAAGAATAAACGACTTCTTAACTCTTTTTCATCTTATATTAACAAAAACATTTATTTATAACTAGCTGTAAGATAAAAACACATTGTAAGTGAATTATACGAAACGTTAACCAAACATTTACAAACACTCTCATCGACAAAGAAAATTTTAAATTAAAACTTCCTTTTATTGCATTTCAGAGGATATGAAAATGTAAATTTCATTTAGACACAACACGACTTGTCATGAAAACGTACAACGATCAAACGTTTGTGTCTTGTAGAGAAATCTGTCGCTTCGTTCCCGGCCAGACGTCGTGTGCGCTAGAACTGAGCGAGTAATTTGAATATGGGGTCGTACAGAGTCTGGACGGCGCTCGGGGTCCATAGGAAGTCCATGTGGTTGTAGGGGCGGTCGGGCACTTTCAGCTGGAACACGACGTTCTTCTGCAGACTCATCAGATGCTCCACGTCCTGCGGAAAAAAAACATACTGTTTTACTAGTGAGCTTCTTAAAGTTACCCTGAATAATTTACAGCTTAGAGTGATTGCTAAAAAGGGAAGACGGTAGTTTATTTGTACAATGGCTTGTAATTTGAAAAATATTTTTGACAATTTGCGTGGAGAACTCACATTAATAAATTAAATGTAGTCTACAAAAGTTTGAAGAATTTAATTATGAAATAGAATAAAATCAAGAAAGGTTGGTAAATAATTTAGTAGAACAGAGGAAATAAACAAAGGGAATCAAAGCCATTAAATTACAAGATGAGAAAATCATAAGAAGTTAAGGATCGTTTAGAAAAACTTAATTGGACGATTTTTGACTGACGACTTGAATGATAATTGTAGACTTTGTGACATTCGGGTGATATTCGCATTTTGGAATCATTAGCATCCGAAAGGTAAAAAAATATAATCAGAGTTCCTGAAAATTAATTAAACCATAGACCGCAGGGAACGGTTGTCAGGAAATTTTTTTCACAAACCAAACAATAACGAGATGAAATAGATTGCCTGCAAAAAGCTTAGAACCTTTCCCTGGCTCAGCGCTCAACAGTTTGCGTAATTAATTTAAAGTATTTGAAAGTAAATGAGAGCCTTAACTATTAATAGTGGGTTAGAAGTGCTATATTGTGAATAGAGGTGTCTTGCAGTATAGATCAGACAAATAATGAAGGAAGTGTTGTCGTGAAGTGCAGTGCAGTAAAATGAAGGATAGTGCACTGCGGACTTAATTGCACAAAAAATCTGTGCGCATTGAGATTAAGTCGTATCTTTCTTTTTCGTCGGGTAATTTAATGCTTTATTTATTATCAGTTTTTATAATATTATGATTATATTATATTACCGTATTTATATAATTAACTGCCACCGGGTTATACCCTTTTGGAGTGTAAATACATTTATCTTATCTTTATATTTATCAATAAACAAACTCTTTTAACGTAACAATTTGGAGGCTTGCAATCTTCACTTCCTGAATGATAGAAACATTTTCGTGTTTGATTCGATGTTCAAGCAAAGAGAGAGTTTCAAATTACCGTCTTCGAAAGCACTGTATTTGGAAAGCCGTCCTTGACTCTGCGTGTCAGCGCGATGTGGCCGTAAGGTCGTGAACATTCCAGAGAAATGACGGTTTACGGATCCCGCTGAAATGGCACACTGCACTATGCGCCGGGGCGCCAGCCTCTGTCTTCAGGCGATGCACAGGGCGACCTCGACACTGTTCTCTCCGCCTTGCAACAGGCAGAATTCCTTCTGCCTGTGGAACGAGATTAGTCGGATGAAGTCCAAGGCATCACCGGGTCCTCTGGCCATTTGCATTTTTATTATTCCTGAGTCCGCTCGAGGATTGCCCAAGAATAAAAGTGAAAGTATTCGCAATTGTATGTAATTTCAAGCACGTTATGAATCAAATGGCTAGGACGTCATGGCAGGCTCTTGCCTTAAGAGGATGTAATGTCAGAGTATGCACGTTTCAAAGGGATTGTATTTTAGATACAATGCAGTGAATGTGTGCTAAATACAAATGCGTACGAGGAACATCCTTTATATTTTGAACAATGTATACTTATGTATACATTTTAAAAGTGTACAAAAATCAGGTTTTTTATTAAATTTTTAAGTAAAAGACTCACGGTTAAGTCACGCTTTTATCAGTAGTCCTATTAAGTGTATATCAACATTATGTTTTATTAGTATTTTGTTCTACATCTACATTTTGATACACTAGTGTTCCCCAGAATATTTTTCGGTGATTCTAAGCCAACATGTTTACAGACAAACACATCAATATATTGTGAAAAAAATGAAATGAATATATGCATTCTTTTACCCTTTTCGAAGCTTCTCTTTATTATCAACTTTGTGTGGCAAAGGATTACAAGTGTCCTTTCCTTTGCACCTATTGTTTCCCTTGAAATTGGACCCCCAGCATTCAGTATGTACAATACCAATCCCCAGACTCACAAAGCACAGACACAGCCAGACAAAGCACCCCAATCTTATACAATGATATTACTTTCTCTGAGCCGAGTGTAATTAACCCCCAGGTGGTCAGCTTCTATGTGGACTTACGTCATTTACTATAACAAATTCTAGACTAGACATTGTTTGTATAGTAACAAAATATTTGGGTTTCCCAATTACTTAAACGGAACTTCCATTTATATGACTTGAATACAAACTTCTTGAAGCAGCGTGTTCCTAATTCTTTCAAATTCGGTCAGAATTCATACTGCTCGTAGTGTACATTTCACGAGTAAATTAATCCTTAATTAATCGAAAATATGTGTTGTTTACATGTAATTTTGGCGCAAAATATGAGTAATTTAACAAAGTTAACATTTGTTTTTTTCAAAAACCGCTCCAATTTTTCCTTTAACTATTTTCCAAGGATAGAAGGAATGCTTAAAAAAAAAGACGCCGTCCCATATTGATTGGAATCTCCAAATTTTCAAAAATTGCAAATTTAGGAATCATGCAAGAAACTATGTGATGTTTAGCACCACTAGTTTGTTTCCAAAGTAAGTAATAACAGCATTAAGAAGTTTCTTTTCCGAAGACCAATACAGTAGGGCATTCTCTCATATTTATAAGCTTTCCTTGTGCATTACATTGAAATAAATTACATTTTTATCTTCCTCTCTGTACTTGCGCAATAGTTCTCTCGTAATACCCCCAGCATAGCTCAAGTAGGAATATTTATTACATATATTTACGAACATTTGAGTAAAAATTTGAATTGTAACTTTTGGATTCAGATTCTTCCATTACTATCCCTCAATGAGCTTCAGAGCCAAGTTCTGTTCATCGAAAATTTTGTTTGCAATGGGATGTTCGCCGTATTGCATACATACCTGGTGCGCGTGTGTTTAGTGGTACGATGTTCGTGGTGTGTGCAGTGTGTATTCTGTTCATGATGGATGTGATGTCTGCATTGCATGCGTTGTAACGCGTGTATGTGCGTGTGTGTGTGGGGGGGGGAGCGGTTGAAGGGCGCGGTGCTCACCGTGGGGCTGACGGCGCTGTCGTCGTCCGAGTAGAAGATGGCGGAGGGCGCTGAGACGAGGCCGATGTCGTAGTCGGGCGGTTCGGGGCGGCCGTAGCGCCGCTGGTTGCCCTCCGCGCTGCCCTCGTCCCACTGCCGGAAGCGCCCTGCGCACGCACCCCCGAGTCCACTCCCGCAACCGCCCACGCACCAACAGCCACACAATACCTTCCAAGTTTTACCCGAGATCAGGTGGCAATTCACACTGAATATGTACCGGGAGAGGTGGCTCAGGGAATCCACTGATGTCTATGCAGTGTCTCCAACAGGGAAGTCCTAGGTTCCCGGCGGCGGTTGCTCTCAAAGTAAATGTGCAATCGTGAAATGCAAAAAAAATTGGCAAAATAAGCACGATTGTGTAATCGATGTCCATTTGCAGCACTTTATATCAGCAATTGCCTTTTACTATGTCGTAAACGAGGTCAGTAATTTTTTTCAGCGCGATTAATAAAACGTTTCACACGCTTGTTTGTTTAACACACATCTCGTGCATTTTAATGACGCGTACTACTTCCCGTAATAACCATTTTACCGCTAAAGTTACGTAGTATGATTCGCCCAATCAGGCGGTTGGTTTGGGATATCCCCGCGATCCGACGTGTAGTTTGGCGTCGGATTTTGCTATCTAGCAGAGGCAGTTCACACTACACTTAAACTATACTTACCGGACTAATGACCTTAGCCGTTGACCCACTCAGGACCACTAATCAGTTAGTTTATAGTTCAAATATTGTTAACATAGCTTTGTAAATTCTTTTATTCATTTTGCAACAATGTACAGTAAATTTTGGGAAGAGATTCTGGGGCTCACGAAAATGCGTGCAGTTTGTATTTCTCCTCTAAACGTTACATTCAGTTTTTTACTGCTCTTAGACGAAAAATTAATACGACTTAATAAACGACTTAATAACGACTTAATAAAAACTAGGTGTGCTGAATAGAACAAACGTTTTCGCAGTATTGAGAAAGGTTTCCCAATATTATTATAATATTGAAGCTTCTGGTCTCAATTTAGACATCATCTGAAAAAGTACAAACAAAGCGCGATCGTATGCATATATGCTATTATTTCAATAGTCAGGTAGTGTCCCTTTCATACTACTACAAAAAAAACAAGCATGAATAGATCTCAACTTTTATAATCTTTGTAGCACGTTATGCAGACAAGCAAGGATAATTTCACATATAAATTGAACGACCAGAACTGAAGGTTATCCAATATATTACCACATGATTGCATACGAAACTATGGTAGCATAATGCCCATATTACGGATATGGGCATTATGCTACCCATTAAGAGAGAAAACTTAATTGAACTAATTTCAATTAACGTTTGCGGATTGGTTGATATAAAATACATCAATATATTGAGAATACAAATTGTACAATAGAGTAAAAATCGAATTCATATTGGGATTTTCTACAATAAATTTTAATTAAAATACCATTAATTTTTTTAATTAATAGTAGTTCGGATATATTTCATTAATTTCAACAACAAAGATTGCGGAAAAAATGCTAGTTTTGAAAAATTTGAATATTATTTTTTTTATTAATTAGATTTATTAGAAGAGATTTCGTTTAAGGTAAAAGTCACTATCTTCAATTTTGTAGTATTCAAATGTGTATGCAGTTTTTGAAAATATGGAGAGATCAACGAAAACGAGACCTGCGGTCTTATTTTAAGCATTAGTTGTTCTGTTCATGAAAAAATGAATTTGTTTTACAAATTTCATACATTCCAAGGACATATTACGCGAAATCTTCACATTCAAAAAATGTGCATGACGTTTCTTAATGAGCTGAATTTGTGAAATTGTAAAATAAAGTGATCGAAAAAATTGTAATTGCCTGTATTTCACAGAACAAACACAAAACTACTCGAAGTTTCAAAATATTGTAAATGGTGTTAATTCCAGATGTCTTTAAAGAACAGATTTCATTAAGAAGAATCCTTATCTTCCATATTTTAGTTATTATATACGTTACTTGTAACTTTCGCAATTTTCGAAAACTCAGGGATTTTCAACGCAACTGAGATCTGAATCATAGTCTTAAACATTATTTGCGCCATCCTACAACAATAGTTAAACATATTTTGACTCACTGTTTTGAAAATTTAGAAAAAGTTCCAGAACCTTCCTTTAAAGTACCATCCAAAATTAAAATATCGGTTTCAAATCACGGGGCCGCAAGGCAGCCAGATCGATGAAAATACCAACTTTGGAGAAAATCGTCTCAACGGTTAGGCCCTAGAATTGACCATGTACGGGCCCACGGGCGGATGGAAGGACGGAAGGAAAAGTACCATACCACATATACTATATATAACTATAAATATACTACGAAGAATGACTGAAGCGCCTCCATATTTGAAGAAAATTGAAGCCATGCCCTTTTTTTATGTCAAAGCAGCTCTCTCTGAGAAATAAAGTATTGTAGCATTGTTTGGCGCTGGTTACGGACGGTCACACCGTCACTTTTGACTTCCAAAAAACATGGCGGCGACTAGTTCCAGGAGCCTCCACCAAGAGCGCTGAAACTATAGGGACAGACACTCTACGTAGTATATTCTAGCTTGTTGATATATACACTCGGACGGATATGTAATATACTACGCATATTACTTTCTCGTATATACGTACTTATACGAGAAAGTAATCTATACGTATACTACTCCCTGTATTCGGGAGAGTGCACGCAAAGGACGTTCGCGGGGGCGGGGGGGGGGCGCACCTGAGAGCACGAGCTGCGCGAAGTGGCCGGGCGTGCGCGCCGAGGAGCTCTGCAGCACGTGCGCCGCGTAGAACGGGATCAGCGACTGCAACACACCGGCACGCTCACAATAGAATAGTGCAGACACCCCTCGTATCCATTTTTCTTACCGATCATCACATCATATATACTCGTGAATATATATATATATGTGTGTGTGTGTGTGTGTATTTATATGTATATGTGTATCTATATGTATATAAGAACGGTACCATCTTTTACTGTTTTGTAATATTCTTAAGACTTTAATTAGTTCAACTATTTAGGAACCGAAAAATTGAGAAAATATGAAAAAAAGCGCATTCGAAGCCTATACATAGCAGATTAAATGCGCAAAAGGCAACATTGAACAGTGTTCTGCCTCGTTGTACACACTAGACGCTGTACCTCGTTGAAGCCGGAGTGCGCGGGGCCGTACGCCGTTTCGAAGGTGCGCCGGCAGAGCGCGCGCGACGCGTGCGGCTGGCACGAGAGGAAGAGCAGCGCGGCGCGCGCGGCCGACGCCGGCAGCAGCTCGGGCGCGTGCGAGCTCTCCAGCGCCCTCTGCAACACGCGCGCGGCGCGGCTCAGCAGCGGCGGCGGCGGTCACGAGCTGCGCGTGTTGACAGCCTTCCGCGACCTATGGGCTGGGGAATGTGACATTTGCTGGTTCTAGGAGAGAATACATCAAGCCTACAAATGTGTATCCGTTCGTCATACATCCATCCTGCATAAAGACACATTCACAATGCCAACTTAAACATAAACATAATGCATACATGTAAACATTAGAATAAGTGATAGACTGATGTATTCACTATGTCTGACGTAAAAGTAAGCAAAATTGGAGTATCTATTCGCTGTGAGACGTTCTAGTTTACTATTGGTTGGATGAGAGAATCAGTTTCGAGATATTGTCTGTGCCCATGACCCATATGGCGTTAGTTCATCTATCGACATCACTATTTCGATTCTCGATTTTGAATTAACTTACCGTGATTGATTCATTTCTTACGTCTTACTTAAGCATAAGCACAGAAGCTTGAAGGTTGCAAGTTCTTAAGTGAACGTCATACGTGTTATGCTTATGCGAACGCATTGTGAGTCTGCTTGTGGACATAGACCGAACTTTTATATTAACACCATACTTATGTTCATGTTTGAATTGTGAATGGGCCTCAAGTCTGTTCGTCTGTTCATGCGTTACTCTGATTTACATCCCTTCGGGCCCATCGTTTGGGGTCTCGTTTCGGACTACCGGTGGGGAACTCACTAGTTTTTTATTGTCTCCAAGAATATTTTATTGTATTAATAATTATAATATTACATCTTTACAGGGTTGGGAAGCTTTTAAATAATCGTTTTTAAAATACGTGTTTCAAATATTCTAGATTGTAAAATTAACGTTTACATGAAACTAGTGAGTTAGACTATTTTCGCTAGTTTTCACCTCTTCTAATGTTCGATTGGCTCTCATGCGATGCCGTTGGCTTAAATGGCCATCGGCTAATGCATTGGCCTAAATGTCGGACCGCCGTGGCGCGGCGTGGCGCAAGTAACAGCGGACTCACGACGATGCGGTCGCCGCTGCGCGCCGCGACGCGCGCCACCTGGTTGGGCATGTGGGCCATGAAGACGGCCGGCGCCAGCCCCACGTGCAGGCGTACGCGCGCGCCCACGTCGGGCCGCGCCGCCGCCATGGCGTAGTAGGCCGTGTTGCCCATCGAGTGGCCCACGTAGAACAGCCGCTCCCGGCGCGTCGCCTTCAGGATCAGGTCCACGCACGCCGGCAGGTCGTACACGCCCATCTCGTGCCAGCTGCGCACGCCACAACCGAAAATAGAGGAGCTGAAACAGCGCGCACTTTCTCGCATGGTTCAAAATAGTTACGAAATATTATAGTATTGTAATTTTTGACGTACTAAAAACTCAGTTATAACTTGAATCAGTCTAATTCAAACGAACTGCCTCTCGTACTTACTTGCATTTATTTTCATTGTCAGAAAGAGCCGCCATTACTTACTTTTAGAACGAACTTTTAACGAATTTAAATGAGACAGTATTTAAAGAACATAATACAGAAAAGCAAGAGTAATTTCACACAAGCCCACCTTCATTACATTTGAAGTGAGCTTTCAAATTTTTGATACCTCAATCAGCGATTAAAACTTCTTAAAGTATAGAAGGGTGTTTGTGCGTTCTAAGCTAGAATTTTCCTCCAGACACTGGCTGAACTCGACTTATCTATGTAACTAGTATCGAAAATCCTGCCATGTCCGGACTTGAAACTAGGACCTCCCACTCGGAGGCACTGTAGTGACATAGAAGCCCTGCGCCACCTAAGTCTGTGACAAATTGAAAATCGCAGTGTGGAACTACCAGCGGATTTATCCCTTTACATATTACTTATCAATCTTGTAGTTCTTAAGGAAATTAGGTGGATAACCAGCATATAACATTTGTTGTTGAAATTTGTAATTCCAGGGAAAAACCAGCTTTGTCTGTCATGGGTGATAAAATATCTCGAACTCAACTGCTGTAATACGGGTTAAGTTGATATTTCATTTGCAAGTACCTCGTTTGTTTTGGGGTGTTATATATATATATATATATATATATATATATATATATATATATATATATAGTAAAAATTGTTTTCTAGGTTGTATTGATTGTTACCCTTTCCATATCAAACCTGGAAAGTGGCTTTACCACCATTCGGGTACAATAAATTTTAAAAAACAAACATAACACACTGTTGTAACATGGGCATTTCGTATTCACAAACGCAAGTAACGTGAGGGGATTGCTGAAGGTGCAATAAGCGACCTTTTGTGTTGTAGGGAGAAGGCGACCATGGGGCGGCGCACCTGAAGTTCCAAAAGGCGAGGTCCTGCGTGGAGAGGCTCTCGTGGCGGCGCGAGTACGGATTGCCGCGCAGGTTGGCCAACCACACGTCGTACCCCTTGTCCGCCAGCAGGAAGGCTGCAACAACAGGTAAGCAAGGTGACGGCATCAGTAGTGGACATAGTTAACATTTACGTAGCTTCCCCTCCTGAATTTACTGCAATCTTCCAATTCTTTTTTTGTTTCAAAATGTGCGCTTGAAGTGCCAACTAATGAGGAATTTAATCTCTAAGTCTAGTAATATTTAGAAAAGGGTTCAGTACGAAATTTTCTGGATTTAGAATATAAGAAAGTTCTCGATACCATCGTATCATTAATTCCTGTAAATCTTTAAAAATATGTTGCAATAAACTTAAAAACATGTTGTATAAGAAGAATACGTAATAAGCTGACAATATGTGTAAAACGTCAGAACAAACTGTTCAGTTGAGATACAGACTTTAATTGCAATTGCTACTGCAATTAAAAGTGTATGTACCTAGTTTTCTTATATGTATACGTACGTTTTTCTAAACGACATGTGATATGCGATATTTTTTAATGTAATAGAAATTGAAAATGCTTGAAAGCGTAGAACGGTGCCGAAATAGATTTTAAAAGTGAAGCTTTAGAAGCTTAGTTGGGATATCAATGACGAAAAAATCATCAATATTAGACTTTTCCAAACTCGACATCTCACGACACGAGAAACTGGAGGATTCGGATATCACATTCCTATTAAATGTGAGCTAGAGATGGAGGAGACTAAATGTTTCCTAGGTCATTACTGAAGGGAGGCATATTCTTAAAATGAGTTGCAAGAATATTAGTTAAAGGCTCTTTTCATTCTCGTGATAGTGTCATCTTAGTACGTTTTTGTGAATCTATTACCTTAAGTGTAAACAGTAGTAAAGTTGGTGGGAAAGCATATTGAATGACATGCTGCATGGAGTTCCTATAACATGTACAGTTATATGAACAGTAGTCTTGGGAAGATAAGGAATGGAAATGGGAAGGAAACAAAGCAATACCTACAAAGACATTTGACTTGTTTGCTGATTTGTTTTTGTATGGGTACGAATACGGATTAAATTGATTTTGATATTAGTATAATATATGTACGAAGTTCTAATGAAATCTTTATAGTTCAAGTGACTAACACCACAAAAATACGTTAACAATTCATTCTCATTACGTCATTTTCAAGTGCAATTTTATTCCACCTTCTTGGTCTTGGTCGTTTGGTTTTGTGAGTTGCAGTCGATCAATCGAAAGCTCTTTGTCGCCTACCGGGGGGGGGGGCAGCAAAGGTGAGGTTGGTTAGCGATACGAATGTAGTGAGTTTTTGTAAGCTTAAATATAAATGAGCAAAGAAAAGTTGGCATTTTATCTACGAAAAATGTTTAGTGATTCTAATTTTGTGTGACGTTTTACTTTTCATGTTAATAAGAATAGTAGGATCTCTCACTACAGACCCCAAGGTACATGTACGGTTATTGGTTATCTGTTCAATTTTTGAAAACGTGTATATTTCTATGCTCGAAATGAATAATGTTTATATTGTTCTATAATTTGTAAACCCCGTTTTTTAGCCATAAACCTAAGTAAGAAACGTAATGAAATTATATATTAGCGTTTACAACTTTCCTTGTTGTAAAGTATCCAACTTCAGATGCAATGTTTCTACAGTTCTTTCTTTTGCGCGATACAATCGCAAGGGTTCAGTTGGGAGAGAATTATAATATCTAACATTAAGATCGCACTTACATGACACGATATAATTTCTTCTCTCCTTCTACAGAGCTGGCAGGTAACTAACTCATTACAGTAATTTCTCAGTGCATGCGCGTGTGTGTATGTGTGTGCTGTGTGTTATTCACGAAGAAATGCCTTTAACATAATTGTAAGAGACGCAAGGAAGGAATGCAGCTGGTGTGAGTCGGATGACATACAGGCGAGAGAAGCGAGAACGTATGGGTCGTGAAGGCAATGCTTTTACTACTGCACCTGGCGAGTTGCCAGGCTGTCAACGTCGCTCGGGAAACGGATTTGTTGGTGTTGCCAGCTGCGCGAAGTAGTACTTATCTCGGTGCTTGCGGCTTAGCTCGCGCGAGTGGGGCGGGGCAAAGTCTGCCGGTCTTGACACCGCTCGATCGAACCAACGGATGAGATACATTTAACATTACGTCTAATTTAAACATTTTAAAGATTATGTTAAAGGTAAGAATCAAGTATCCTTGGAGATCAAAATGCCACTAGCAGGATACACAAGGAATAAAATTAGTATTTTATATTTCCAGACCTGACAATGTTGCAAGATGCCTTTACGAATGTAACTTTTGCACTGTAGGACCGCGTGGAAGCTCCCCTATGGAGACTGTGTCAATTACTAAGATGATTCAAAATAATGACATTTATGTAATCTTTGAACAAATTTAATTATTAATAACATTTACTCAATTTTGATGACGTCTCTTCAATAATCGAATACAAACTTAACTTGATCATATCGTAAGATCACTTCAAACTCGTTTATTAACATTCATCATTACATTATCGTTTCATAATATTCTGTAATCCAATTTGGTGATCTGAAGTCATACCTTCTGAGATCGTTGTCCAAATGAGTCATTAGAAAAACAGTCCAGAAAAAATAATGATCTGTTTTGTATGAAAAAAGATAAATTTCCACATGTAAATGTTTTATCACCGCTTTCTAGTCTAGTCTAGTTGGATACACATTTCGTAAATGTAATCCATTTTCAAATTAGTGAGTTTTGACAGATCGCTACGACTTTAGTTTTAATTATCGAAGCTCCCGATTGGATAACAGTGGCTAGAAGATGCCTCGCATTTATTACAAGTCACAATATTTAAATCAGCCAATAACTGTCACCCGTACTTTAATAGTCATTATTAACTCAGGTTGATGCATGGGCCACCGAATTAATTCAAGTTTGGTGCCACGCTTCGAACAGCTCAGTTTCACTGCTCTTTGAAGGCATTTTAGAAAAAAAAGATTATACTTTGCAAACTTCCTGCTTCGGAGATAGTCTTATCTTGCTCAAAAAACCGCGAGAATTCCATCACAATTGACCAAATACTCATTTTTGAACAAATCTCCTAAAAAATTGATATTTAATTGCTTCGGGAAATCACTAATAGGCTGTCCCACCTCCTAGGCAGCGGAGACAAGAGTTGCCCATTGTCAGATTTCCTGGAATCCAATTTTTTCCCACATCAGATGCGACGAGTTCGCATTGTTTGAAAATCAGAGGAGCCGTGAACATTTGTGTAGCGATCGTGCCGAGGAGCTAAGCAATACCTATATGGGGCGCATTGAAAGTTTGTGGTACGTTAGCATCAAGCAGTTATCGTGTAGTTTCTTTGAACCAGCGCTCTGAGACGCGGAACGCAAAAGCAGTAAGCACGAATGACGTGAAATTCGTAAGCAGGACTTTTATTTTCGTCCAGACAGATAACTATGACAATCTCTTCAACACTCATTGAATCTTACAGCAAAGTAATAATATTTGCCAATTTTGTGTTGCTTCCCCCCCCCCCAGAACTCTATGGTTTGATGAGAACACAGAAAGCGATGCACAAAACTTCTCGTTGCAGTTTCTGCTAACGCTCTCGCAATTCATCTAAGCAAAATTTCGCATCCTCAGCGACTAATTTCATTACATGCAATTATGATTTTGAGTTACGAGTGAAGCGTTTATAAATGGGCGGAGCAGGGCGTGGCGGGGCGAGGCGGGGCGCGGCGGAGCTTGGTCGGGCTGCGGTGGGGGCGTGGACGGGGCGGTGCATGGGAGCGGGCTGGCGGGCGTGGCGTGGCGTCGCGGGCTGTGGCGGGGCGTGCGGGGAGGAGGGGACGTGGCGGGGCGGGGTGGCGCGGCGCGGCGGGCGCGCGGCGGGCGGGCGCGGCGGGCGCGGCGGGCGGGGCGGGGCGCGGCGGGCGGGCGGGCGCGGCGGGCGCGGCGGGGGCGCGGCGGGGCGCGACCGGGCGGGCAGGGGGCGGGGCGCGGCGGGGCGCGGCGGGCGCGGCGGGGGGCGGGGCGGGGGGATGTGGGGCGCGGCGGGGCGGCGGCGAGGGCGCCCAGCGCTGACTCACGAGCGCGTGGGGTGGCGGGGCGTGAGCAGCCAGAGGTCGAGCGCAGAAGATGCGGTGCACCAGCAGCACTGGCTCGCCCCTGTCGCCCTCGTCCGCCCGCGGGCGAGGCGCAGGCGGCGCGAGCGGTGCAGCGTGAGCAGGTAGCCGTCGTCGTGCGCACCGTGTGCGCCTCCAGCCGAAGCCTGCGCCGCCGCCAAGCTCCTCCTGCGCACACGGGCGGGCGAAGGTCGCTCAGGGCGTCAATGGAGGCCATTGCGTGGCCTCCGGCCGGAAGGGCCTACGGGTCGAATCGCGACCGTGGCAGGGTTTTTTACACTGAGTAGGCGGCTAGATCGAATTGGGCCGCGGACTGGAGAGGAATGGTCATCGAGTCGGCTGCTCTGATCAGTGGTTTTGCGTTGTTTTTCCTATCAACACTAGGTGGACGTCGGAGCAGTACGTACGGAGCGGAATGTGGAATGGGTAGGGCGGAGCGGGGTAGGGCGGTGCGGGTAGGGTGGAGTGCGTAGGATGGAGCGGGTAGAGCGGGCCAGGTAGGGGGGAGCGGGTAGAGTGGAGACGGTAGTTTGAGAGAGTAGGGTGGAGCGGGCAGGGAGGAGCAACCGAGCGGGCTGGCCGGAGACTTGCGGAGCGGGTTCAGATTGGGTCGTACTATGACGTTTTGGGGCGTTGCAGGCCGGGGAACAGGCCGCAACGTAGGCAGATTGACCTGTTACATTACGATAGAATGCCTTTTCCTATTTAGTAGGTGACTGTTGAATTCCCAGGAAATACCGGATTACTTCAGAACTAGTGTACCCATGCATGAGCGAACATATAATAGAATGTCCAAGAAGTTCTCATCGTATAGATTATTGTGTGATGCTTTTTTTATGGTTTCGTTCTCAAAAATTCAGATTTTTAGGCACTAGGACTAGAAGTTAAAGTACAATTCGTCACGTCTTTGTTAAATTATATTTCTTCAGAGAACCCATTTATAAAGATTAGTTGCGTGCTAGAGACGCAGAACTCATCTGAACTATTGAAATAAAATAAGAGAGGATAATTGAAGTTTTGTCATCGTCCTGCGGGTTTTGTAAGCTCGTTGCTGCGTATTGCATCGAAGTCACTGGAATGTATTTATTTATTTATGTCAAAAACTGTGTGTGACGTACTGTGAGGAGAAGTCAATTTGAAGTTACATTTATGTCCAGAAGCAAAACAAAGGGCCATCTCAGCCTTTGCTCGAGGATCAGGGAAACAGGACGAAAACCTGATCGAGATGGGGGTCATTGACCCAGAGGCTGAAGTACAATACTTGTTACCGGTTCTTTACAATTATACAATCAAATTATATATAATACATTAAAGGTCATTGTTAAAATTAATATAACTTTCCTTTTGGATTCTCGGTTTTGTCTCTAATTGTATAGAAACAGTTACGGAGCAGAAAATCTTTTCCTTGGGACTTAAACTTTTGTATGGAATTGTAATCGCTTAATGTAAATACCTGTTCTAGTGTTTATATTTGCAGTGTGATGTTGTGGTTCACTATGTGCTATAAACATTACGTAAATAATTGTGTACTTATAAAATGAGTCATATAAATATCATTAAGCAGAGAGCATTTCCAGCTTTACGTATTACATTGGCGTTACTTTGCACTTTCACTTGCTATGTTTTTTGTTTGTGTGACCCAGCTTCGATCTAGTTAAAGCTCAAGGCTTCCTTTTTATTTTTAAAGAGGTCAATACATGAAGAAATATTATATAAAACCTATCGCCACTACCCAGGTTGAAGAGCATCCTGGCAAGGCTTGGACAATTATTGCGAGAGTTCGCGGAACTCTTACTTGGGAAATTCTGACATATCTCTCAGAATGAGCACTTACCGAGGACACTAGATTTGTGACCGATTCCCGATTCTTGAAAAAACAATGCAGTTCAAATTGTCTTTTTAAACAACGGTGTATTTCTAGTAACATGTCGGTGTATTGATTCAGAAAATGTGTTTATATACGAGCATTTTTAATACGTCCAAATAATTTAACCGTTCCAATTTCGAGGTATTCAACTCATGTATTTGTTCAACTTGCGAACACGATTATAAATTATACGAAAAACATTAACAATAATAGTTTGCACGGTGAGTATTTTTTGACCTACAACAATTTTAAATCCGGGGTCTACTGTCTCTATGCATTATGGTTTTCATAGTCTGAAAAGGAAGGTACATTGATCAGTTGACTTTTTTCCACTTTTAGTGTCATACTGAAGTAGAAATCATATATTGAAATAAACTACTGTACTCGAATACCAATAATCCATTTACGTATACACATATAACACTTTCAATGTATTAGGTGCTGAATCATATTGGTATTGTTTGGACGATATTTCTAAACAGTTCACCATTCTTAGATCATTTACTTGGCGAACTCAAGCTATTTCGTGTCATCATTCACTTAGCACTTTCTCGCTCCACCTTTATTCAGAATATTTCAAACTTTGATGTCGTAACTCTTTTCTGTTACTGACAAGGCCAATGATTTGCTCTCAGATAAATTTATTGTATCTTTAAACAGAGGAAGAACAAAAAAGACGTGAGGCAATAGTGAATGACAGATACTTTTTTAATATGTATATCAAATCAAATGTCAAATTTAGTAAGAAATTTATTGATAATTTTGAAGCCTTCGATTGTCTTTCAAAAGAAATTAAGTTCTGCAAATATGTGAATCGTTATATTTAATATTTGGACATAAAATATATGCATGATTTTTACACATGAGGACTACCTATTTTAAAATTCGCAATACAATTATGTTATGGTTCTTCGAGTATTTGTAATATACTGTAATATGACATTATTTAAGCTAATTAATATTTTCACGTGTATACAATTTCGTGTGTTCTCATGTATTACAGCGAATATCCTTAATATAAGGAGATGTATGTAACCTTGTAAGGGGTCTTCGATGGTTTGATTATAAAAACCGGTCAGTTACTCGTGAGAAAGGTTGCTTAAAAAGCGATGATGTATTCGCAACATATATAATTGTCAACTTATGTTTTCATCAAGATAATACATTGAGCAATTCGGGACTCGTTTTAATTCAGTTGTTAAATCCTTAAAATTTCCGAGTTTTATTTTTGAATTGTATTATGTAACATATATCTAGTATATACCATATACTATGTTTTTATAGTATTTACATATATACTATAAAAATCCTTAAAATATTACACTTAAACATATTATATTATATTATTATTTATTATTATTATATATACATATATTATAAAACAAGCAATCAATTGTCTCACCAAATATCAAGGTAAAATATTTACATAAACCCAATTAAAGCTATAAAATGGCTTTTTTCAATCCCAATGCCAATTAAAATCCTAGGGTTATCAATTGACACATTTTTAAAACTGAAATATCATATCAAACATTAAGCAAAAAAAGCATCCAAAAAAAGTTTTCTCTTTATCCTCTAATCAATAAAAGTTCTAAAATTATCATAGAAATTATCATTCTTCATAATATTCAAATATATCATTAATTTACGCCTGTCCTTTTTCAGGAGGTTCTGCAAAGACTCATACACAAAAATTAGTAGTAGTAATTCAAATTAAATTCTTAATTTGACATTAAAGTCTGCATGGATCATACTGAATAAGCAAATACAAAAAACTATCAATAGACACTTAGAAAAATTTGATCAGAAAACTTTTCACTTGTATCTGCGTTTCACTTCCATCGTTCTCAGCAACAAGAAAATTTTCATTATGAAAACTGGCTTCTCAAACCCCAGAATTAAATTTAGTGACTCTAAAGGTTAATTGCAAATTCTATAATTTATTAACTTCAATGCATTTAAATTAATATTTATTTTCATCTATATTCTGTAAATTTTCACTCTTTATATTATCATTAAGTCGTATTCCGAAACCAAGTTCCGTTTAGTCATAAAACAAAATAAGAACATGAGAAATGATTTTTATTCACAGTAATATTTTACTACATATCTAAATTACTTTTCAACATAATTACCGTTCACGTTTATAATCTATCTGTAACACTCCATCAGCTTCTTTAATCCCTCTACATAGGAATTTGTCGCCCGGGAATTGAACCAATTGATAACACCAGTCTTGATTTTAACGTCGTATCTAAAGCGCTGTGCACCCAGCCACGGCTTCAAATGCAAGAAGAGGAAATAGTCACTTTGTGCGAGGTCTAGCTACACGGAAGATAATCAAAAAGTTCCCAAAGAACATCTTGAATCTTCTCCTTGATTTTCGCCGCGGAGTGACAGAGCGCGTGCCAGCGCGTGCGGGAGAGGATTGTGCCAGAAGACAGTTTCCTGCGGCGTCGATTCTAGAGCGCACGTCTCAGTTTGGTTAGCGTTTCACAGTACACGTCAGTTGTAATTATTAACTTTCAGTCCTTGAAATCAATAAAAGGGACGGTCTTGAGCCCTCCCAAAAAAGTAGCCATTATTTTCCGATTCGAGAATGGAGATTGCTTAAACTTCTTTGTTTTGGGTGAAGTAGAATGGCACCACTGCCTTAGTGTTCGGTATCCTTGTCCTCCGCCCGTAACATTGTGGGAAAACCAATGATCTCTATCTTGCCTATCGTCCTCCAAAACCTCTCGTACACAACCCATTCTGTGTTCTTTGTGCTGAACAGTGAGCATTTCTGGTACCCATATCGCACAAAGTTTCCAATATACAAGTTGTTTAGGCCAATCCTGTAAATTGGGGTTTGTTCAACATTTGGGAATTCATTAGCTGTACCACTGTTCGCCAATCGCCGATCATTTTGAAGTTTTGGGTTCACTTGAGCAACGATCTCGTCGGTTCGAATACTGGGCCTGCCAATCCGCTGTTCGTCGTGTACATTTTTGCTGCCTTTTCGAAATTCTCGACACCGTTTTTGAACTTGTTTGTCATTTCCGGTCCATACACTAGGCATTACTCAAGATAGATTGCAGTAGTTGAAGATCCTTTTGCCAACAAAAATCTAATCACATCGCGCACTTCACAACTGGTGATATCTACGATTGTCTGGGCCATTGCGATCTGCTCCCCGCCAAATGAATCAAACCAACACTGTGGAAGTTTCCTAAACAGTTGGTAGACAGTGATTCATGCACGATACGTCTTTCGGGCTCACCATTAGTTACGCATTCGACACCGGACCTTGGAATATGCCTCCTACAAAAAATTTATTTCGCTATTTAAAGAGAGATCCCTTTCTGAAATTACCTTGACATTGTTTGTAGTTATTGCTGTAGTTACGAGTAGCATCATTAATTTTTCAATTATTGTATAATTAAGTTAAAACTTTGTTATACATAAAACCCTTGGAATGACTTACGTCGAAAAAAAATGTACATCTTTTTTAAAATAATAAAACAAGTTGAAATTTGCATTGATGCCATACCGTGAATTAGACACTACGGTAATCCATTGCAATGTATTTTTATAAAAGGTTGTGACTGTCTGAAAAACTAAAACATTATTGCCATATTATTTCTTTATGTGACATTGATACTGCATAAACATAAATAATTACGGTTCTAAAATATTTATAACCTGCGTACGATATCAGCAAATAACTCATTTGTATGATCTGACAATAATAAATTATGACGTAATATAAAAATTATGTTTACGAGACATTTAGCGCTTAATGCCTGTTCAGCAAGCCGAGTCGCGTGTGAATTGCACCTCCAGCGACAATTGGGAGCTCTCGCACCACATTACAATTCCGCGCAAAGCGCCTTGACGGCGTTCAGGCAACCGAAATCGGTGAAGGTTCCCGGGTGGGAGCGCAAAGCCGCAAGGTGTGTGGCGAGTGCAGGCGCTGGATGCGGTAATGCGCCGTAAAAAGCGGCTGCTGGAAAGGCTGGACCGGTTCCCGCTCACTTTCTCGGTCAAATCGTAGACGACGCCGCCATCACTGCCACCGCCACCGCCACCGCCACCGCCACGCCACGGCCACCCACCATTGGCTACCGCCATAACGATCGCACTGCCACGGCCGTCACCAACCTCTCCCGCCCTGCCCCGCTCCGCCAACTCACGCCACCGTGAAGTCACACACGCAACGCGCACCTTCACGACATCCACGTCCACTATCGCACCATCCGACTGCTACCGCACCGCCACCGGCACAACCACTGCCACCATCGCCACCGCTACCACCACCGCCACCGCATCACATCCTCTCCCGCCCCGCTCCCTGCCCGCCTGGCTACGCCTCCACTCCGCCACGCCAACGCCAGAACGTCACGGCCACACCATGTCCCGCTTACCACACCACTGCAAACCGCCGCCATCGCCCATCACTGGCTAGCCGCCAGCCACGCTCCGCTGTCATGCACCACCCCACCAAGCACCCGACGACCACACACCAACCGCCGTCACTACCTCTCCGCGCGCTGTACTGCCCCGCCCCACCCCCGCCCAGCAACCGCCTCCACCTCCGCCGCCACCAACATCACGTCCACCATCGCCACCACCGCCATCACCGCCGCCACCGCTCCTGCTGTCACCGCCGCCGCCGCCACCGCCGCCACCGGCCGTGACATCCTCGCGAGGCGCCAGGAATGGGAGCGACGCGCGGCGACGGCGGCGGCGGCGGCGCCCTTGCGGGGATCCCAGCGCGATTAATGGGGTCCACTGCGGTCGTAAACGCCGATGAGCGCGACGGGAAGGCCACTCGGCCTCAAGGTCGGTTTTTTTCTTTTTCTCCGGTTCCTTTTCCTTGTTCTTCTCGTCCTCCTCTTGTTTTGTGCTCCTCCTACTCCTTCCTTCTGCTCTTTCTCATCCTGCTCCTCCTACTATTGCCCTTCTTCTGATTTTTACTGCTTCTGCTTCTCATCCTCTGCCTTTTGCACCTCCCAAACTTCTCAATCCTTTCATTGTCCGTCTCCACTCGTCCTTCACATCCTCCATCTTCTTCATTTATTTCAATCATCTCTTCTTCTCCATCTTCCTTCTTTCTCTTTATTATCCTTTTTCCCATTCTTTTCCTCTATCTAACCTATCTCCTTTTTCTGTTTTTTTTAATCTTTTTTCTCTTAATTTACTTAGCAATTATATGATATGCAATTAGTAATAGATGAAATGAATTTCTGCCAGGAACATACAGAAATCTTATGAAACATTTATTGTATGGTTCGTACAATCAAAGTACGAAATACTATTTTTTATTAGTGCCGAATCCTTGGGAGATTATTGAAAAAAGATCATAAAACATGCTATATAAGTGCAGTAAAGAAATTAAGCTACGAATAATTGTATGTGATGTGTAATCGTTAACCATTGTGTAATAAGCCACCTTCACAAAAAGAGCAAATGTGTTTCTTGCGAAGGATTCAATCCCACATTTCCACCGCACTTAATTTGTGTAACACTACCATGTAAGCTATTTAGGTCGGTTAATTAAAAATTATTAGTGTTTAGTTGACTTCTAAAAACAATATTTTAGTTTATTATATGAGTATTTTGTGGTACATGTGTTACATATGTTACATGAGAGCGAGGATTTTATTTGTTTTTAATGTAACTACGGTTGCTTAACATGCATTCTGGCAGGCCACGTTGATTAATGAAAAACCAGGCCTTGGAATCATGTAAAGTCCTTGCCTTCTTGGCCACTTACTGACCTGTGGATGGCATTGAAAGACAAATACATCACCAAGCTTTTCACTTACACATAATAGTTGTAAACATCACTTAAGAAAATTCTACATTTTGTTCAAAATCAAATTTACTTCATCAGTATGTTATTAATATTAAATTGTGGACAATTTTTTTGCGAATATTGTTCTTCAAGAAGAGGGGCTACAGAATAGCAAAGGCATTCTCGCACTAGTTAGTTTTCTAATTTCCTTGGTCTGGGCCAGCTTCACAATCTTGCCTCATCCTCATGACAGCTGCCATAAAGCGCCGCCCACAGTTTTTTTTTCAAATTGTTTTTAAGTTTCCGGTTTTCTAACAGTAGAACCGAAATTTTTTAAAATCTCGAAGCTTCAACTCGTTAAAGATGGACTGGGATTTCTACAATTTGGAAAAAATCATCCGCATGGTTTAGGGGCTAGTAGTGTTCACAGACGGACAAACAGTCGGACAGACAGTCGGACGTTTTAAAAAGAACAACTGTTTCGGTGTCAAGGGACCCCGAAACCTATATTTGCGTTGAAATCTGGAAATCGATTTTCCGCAGTATTATATAAGTTTCCCTATACTACTAATATTACTCTGTATATATGTACGTATCCAGGAAAGACAAACAGGTTTAATAAAATTGGATAAAATTCACTATCTTGAGAAAAACAGTTTTAAACTTTGAAACTTACAGATAACTTAAAAAACTGTAACAGAGCATCGAGGAAAATCCTGGCAAATACCTGCCCATTAAACTCTTATCGCCGCGTTTAACTTAAAATGCTGAGACCCTCATTTTTACGGAAATGTACTTGTATGAAGTAGTTTTCCTGTACTCTTTTAGTAACATGCATAGTAATCAAGATAATGCGTTATATGGTTTCATCAGTAGCTTTGCGAAGAGAATGTGAAGTAATTAATTGAGCCAAGTGCAATGTGGCAACATGTAAATGAGGAAATGTTTTTTCTAGTGTTTTTTTTATTTCATTAATATTTCTTCACATCCTTACATTCATAGTATCCTCTGGCCATGATCCTATCACAAAGTACCTTAAGGCAAATTTGTTGGAAAAATAGACACGGCTTTTTGGGTGATATCTGTTATTCATAGATGTACTCTAACAAAAGAGTCACGGACCAACCGCGATCTTATCGTCCTCTTCCTTGTTCTATCCTCATCCATTACATACACATACACACACACACACACACACACACATTAACAAGCTAACAATACTACAATTGCCAGTCGGGTGATTAGAGTCAGTCCCGGCTGGGACAGTGCCTAGCTGTTAGGAGATACCTGGTTGGGGAAAACCCCAATAGGTCGGCACCAGATCTCGCCATCCAATGGGGGAAGATCTCCGCCACCTCCCAAGGGGGCAAAATGCACTACACATACGGGAGTAATGACCTTAGCCGTTGGCGCGCCCGGATCCACTAACAATCAATCAATCAATCAATCAATCAATCAGCAGTCAATCGGCCGCAGCAGAGGGGCGTTCGGGCGCGCAGCGGCGGTTGCTTCGCTGACGTCAGAGGCGCCGCGAAGCGAAGCGACCCGTCGCGACGCGGCGCGTTCAGCGCGCCACCTGGGACGCCGCGCGCTCAGAGGTCAAGGCCGGGCGCAGACGCAGGTGGAGGCGGTCAAGGCCGTGGGGGGGAGGGGGAGCAGTGGCGACCGGTCGTTGGCTGATTTCCGCGTGGAGGTATGGGGCGCGAGAACGGATGTGTTCGCATGAGGAAGGGCGTCATTTTCGCCTCGTGCTTCTTTGTCAATACGTCTTGTTCTTTATCTTTGTTTTAATTTGCCTCCTTAAACTTTTTTGTCTCACATTTGAATTTGATCTTTGTAGGTTTTTTTCTTCTTCGTATTCATTGTTTTAATCATGTTCATTTTTGTGTGTCTTTATCTTTATAGTCTTCTTCCTTGCTTTTCCTTGTGTTCTCCATCGCTTTCGTATTTTATATCCTCTTCTTCTTTCTCCTATTGTTAATAATCTCTTTCGTCTTGTTTTGTCACATAAAACGTTAGTGAGCAAAAACAGAGTGCTGACACCTGTATTTTCTAGACAAGTTTAAAATATTGAACTATGATTTACATTATTATAATATACTAGCAAAATACTCGGCGTTGTCCTGTTGTTGTTTTTTACATATTGAATCCTTGTGAAAAAGAAAACGTCTCCTTCTCTCTCTGTATATTTCTTTTTTTCTCTGTCTGTCTGTCTGTCTGTCTCTCTGTTTCTATCCTGCCCCTGTCTACCTCTGTGTCACTGTCCGAGTCTATCTCTGATTGCCTGCCTCTGCCTGCCTGTCTCTCTCTGTCTGCCTGTCTACTTCTGTCTTTCTGTCTCTGTCTCTCCCTTTCTCTGTGAGTTTGTCTCACTCTGTGTGTTTATGTCTCTTTGTCCCTCTGTCTCTCCCTGTGTGTCTCTTTATTTGGGTCTATCTGTATCTCTCTTATTTACGCGAGTTGCTGGCCTCCGAATCTCTCCATTTCTCTCTCACTGTCTCTCTCTCTATTCCTGTCTCTGACTCGGTCTTTCCCTATCTCTCTGTCTCTTTGTATCTCTCTCCGTCTCTGTTTCTGTCCCTTTCTGTCTACGTCTCTCCATAGTAGTGTTAAAAGACTTGCTACGGTAGCGGTTTCAACTTCGAATGGACTTCATTGAATATTTAATAAAAATTCATTATCAACTAAGATTCTCAATTTGCTCTAAATACATTAAACAACTTTGTAACAAATCTTTTATTTCCAGATTCTTTCTTTTCACTGACAGAAAGATACGGCTTTTAGATAAAAACCAGCATTATTTCCTCTTAAAGGCGCTCTAAGGGTACTCTAGCTCTAAAGGTACTTCAGCTCGGTTCCCTAACATTTTCTCCCAAGAAAGATCGCCGTGTGCGCGCATGGCGCAGGCAATTTGCAAGAGATTTGTGCCAATCCACGCGTCGCGACGTGGGGAGAAGGGATTAGCCTTCCCCTCCGACATTCTATTAGCAGCGTTGGTTGAAGGTTTTGGCGCATGGCCATTTGCGGTGTGTTTTTTTGCAAGTAACTACGTCATGTTTTTTAGAAGTAGATATCTGTCTGAATCTACGCATGCTACCTTGAAGCAGCAATTAGAATGTGTTTAGCAACAGACGTGAGGTAATTCTTTCAGATAAGGGTGCTGCGCAAAGTTCCGTTTCGTGTAACTATGTATTCGTTAACACTAGTCTTCGTAACTTTGCGAATGTTACTCGTTGACGTTAAAAAGTAAATTATCCCATAAATTAATTAAAATATCATAAATTAACATATAAATAAGGCAAATCACTTTAATTTTCCCTTCTCTATTTAAATACATTCTGTTGTCAGGTAGATGTGTGTGCATTAGAAAGTGACATATTTTCAAACGAGTCATTGGAAGTTAATGTCTACTTCAGTACTAATAGCTGGTGTTCTATTCATCCGATGTCCTGTAACGTCAATATGACGACAGAGTGGTGTCTTTGGTTATTTTGTTTACAACAAATTTACCTCACTATGAATGCATCCGAGAGATATTTTCCCTCCTATTGCTCGCAAGAACCTTATCATATTGAACGCATTGTTTAAGACAGTTTATATATTAAACACATAGTTCAAGATGGTGACAAAGACATTGTTTCTACTTCCCTTAAAGTAAGTAAGTGTTATGAAGAATTCATTAAAATTCAAGTGCTGTGTTAATACTTATAAAAAATGTTTTCACACAAATCAAATTTGTGATTTTGTGCAACATTACATTCACGTGTATTTACATATGCTCAATAGGAGCAAATGTTATGTTGTTTATATTTGTGTAAAGTAGTTTATAAATGTGTTTCGCAACTTAACGTACCATAAGCGAACGTTTCTGGACGTAATGAAACAAGTCATAGTCGACTGATTGTCAGTGATTCTGAGCGCGTCAACTGCTAAGGTCATTAGTCCCGTAAATTTTGTACTTTATTTCTCGGAAGGTGATGGTGGTCTGCTACTAACTGCTACGAAATACCGAAGCGTTTCTCAGCAAATTAAATGAGAAACATTTGTTGCCTTACTGTACCGTAAATGCGTGAATTGGTTTGTGTTTTCCGAAACTCACTCTGAATGAATATTTATGCAAGTGTTTTATGCGATATATTTGTTCCTTTACTACAGCGACGCCCAGTGCGTTACCGGCGAACGTCGGATGTGCTAATGGAGGCGCTTGGCACAGCAAGTTGAACGAGCGACAAAGCACAGAGCACATGCAGAGCGCCGGGACGTGCGACCTTCAGAACGAATTATGATCTTCAACCACGTTCTCGGAACTACGAGTACCTCGCTCTCTTAGCACTCCGCGTTCGAGAATCGCGTCGCCCCACACGACCCCGACTGAGGTGTTTCAGGCCATTGATTGATGTCAGGGCGGTGCCTCTGGCCCGGAGACCATAGGGTTCGAGTCCCGGCGGTGGCAGGATGTTTGACTCTGGCTACATCGAATTCGGACGCTGACTGGAGGAATGTTTTAGCAACTGGTGGGTCAGCTCGGTAGTTTTCCTGGTTTATACGATCAACACTAGACAAATGGTACAGCCGAATCCATACAAAGGAACAGGAAAGACAGCGCGCTATATTTCCTTCCTCTTCCTTGTCCTATCCTCACCCGTTACTTCTCGCAGCATACGCACGGAGTACCGTCAAGGAAGTTGCCCCAATTGTTGGACGACAGGGCTGAGACCTAATATAACAAACGGGAAAATAATAAGTTCATGTGAACAATACTAATTTAATGTTTTCAGCTGTACCAAACGGAGTGTCTGATGTTATAATAATGTAATGGAAATTATAAAAATGTTATATAATGAAAATGTGCTGTGGGTGGGAAACTTTAGCCAAAAAGTAGTAAATTGAAATGATTCCCATTATTTCACTTCTACGTGCCTATTTTCACATCGATGCGATAGCAAGTAAAACACAAGTGCGTTATTAATATTCAAACTTGTCCTAAATACCAGTATTTACTTCTTTACTTAATATTATGAACTCCATATCATAAGTTATTTAATGAATGTTTTACAGTGTGGTTTTAGGGTTGGAGGGATAAAGCCCGAAGTGGGAAGTGTTTCGAAGCATACTTCGGACTTTATTAAGAATGGTACATTAGACAACATGAATCTGCTAGGGTATATGACGAGAAAAATCAGGGTGACGAGAAAGCAGGATAGATGTTAAGGTGACGAGGAATAACAGATATGTGATAAATTGGTCAAAAAGGGGTCAGACTACTGATGGTGAGTTTCTTTTGCAAATGAGGTGTGTAATTTAGAATTCCTCTGTCAGTCGCAAATTTCTGTTTGCGGTTTCAGTTGTGAGGTTAAGTGAAGCATGTAGAGCGATCATGAATGCGTCCAATTTAATTATGTTGATCCAGAATTATCCCGAATTTAACAGCGTGAAATTAAGCTTTATTTAATGTATTACTTTGTTAGGAAGGTTGTGTAATTTAATTGGTTAGCTAAACTGAGTCAGTAACATTTGCCAAATTTAAATTCTAAGTAAGCTGTGCAGTATTGGTGACACTTCGTTTATTTCTCCACGGAGAATAAAATATGCCTTGTTTTCGAATGATTCATTAATTCATTAATGAATGTATTTTGTGCCTTTCATAAGCTATAGTGCCAATTATTTTTGTAAGTTTCTAAACAAACTAATACAATTATGAGGCTGTGCCTTAGTTGAATGTAATTGTGTTACCTATATATTTATTTATATCTTTTTTTTCAAACTATCCAATTTAATTTCAAATTTACCGTGAGACATCCTAAAGAATTTAAATAATTTTTCTTTTTCCACCAGATCCGGTTATAATATGTGAACATTCACTTTTGTCACTATCGTTCTGTTTAGAATAGAAGAAACTTTGGACTTTCTTCGCCTCCTTGCCTAATTTCCTTCTTCTGCTACTAAAAATAAAGCCAATGCGATTCTTTACTTAAGAAGTAAGTGTTCAAGCCATACGTGGTGCCCGTGCCGTACGTGGTGTCCTAGTCCGCCGCGATCGACATATGCTCTCCGTCCGTCCGTCCGTCCGTCCGTCCGTCCGTCCGTCCGTCCGTCCGTCCCGTCCGTCCCGTCCGTCCGCCCCACCCGTCTCCCCGTCCGTC